TCCCCGTGAATTCTTTCCTTCCGGGTGAGGTGGGTCGGTTTCTTTAAGGAAACGGGTGAAGCAAATCACGGGGGAGAACATACGATTTTCCCACAGGCAAGTTGGAAAAACCTGCTGTCGAAATGACCTTGCTCAGCTGCAGCCAGCTCAACGTCTTACCCTTAAAACCTCCCTCAAGAGAGCCCGTTATAACCCTGCCCATTTGGCAGGTTTCCCCATCTCCAATCCGTGACATTATTTGGCGAGATTTTAGAGTTCCTTTTTTTTCGTTCCTTATTTTCCGAGTGACATTTTTTCCGTTCCTTATTTTCCGGGGACATTCTTTCCTTTTCCCTTTTTTCCGGGTGACATTTTTTCCGCACACCGTAAATACACACTAACATGAAGAAACAATTTATACATAAATACTGCAGAAAATACGTAGAACACTGGGCAGACCTATCACAATAAGACAATAATTATATGATCAATAACCACCCAAAAATATTAAATAAAGTCCAAAATGTAGTTCCAGGTTAAGATTTAGGAGATTCAATGCTAAATATTAATTCAATTTCATGTAAAAGTATCATTAAGGATGAAGTTAAAACAGTATAACTTGCATGGCCTTCTTCATCTGTAGATGAATGAAAAACCACACCTTCAGCATAAAAATAAGAAGACTAAAGGAGGAGGACCTTTGAGACATTTCTACTACTTAAATAATGTCTTTTCAGTAAAAGGAAAAACACACAATGCCCTAGATCAGGGTTTCTTAAACTTTTTTCAGTTGCGACCCTTTTTTATCAGAGATTTTTTCGCAACCCCCAGGACACTAATATTATGAAAATTTTGTGGGACCCCATAAACATTGCGCAAATCCGACACATGCATGTGTAGAACTGTCATTTTTTTCACTTGTACTGTAATATACTATTGCAGTTTTAGGTTATTAACTTTAATTTCTAATTTTAAGACATAGAACAATCTGAAAATTTTAAATAAGTAACAGACAAAATGACAGCGTCACGTGCAAAGGAAGTAAAATGAATGTTTCCATTATAAAAACAATGCATCGAAACGTCTTCCTTTTTTCTTCATCTTCCTTTTTGTCTGTATTGTCTTATTTTTATTTATTTTCAGATACATTGTGTAAAAATATTTGGTAATTGTAAAATTATTATAAGTTAAAGAAATATAAAAAACTGCTAAATTTTTTGGCGACTCCCTGCTGCAGGTCCAGCGACCCATAGTTTAAGAAACGCTGCCTTAGATAGATAAAATACACTCATGTCCAAAATTATGTTTACATGCATAAATTCACGGATTTCTCAGAGACTATGACTTATAATTTAATGAATTTTCGTGGAATCATACATAACATGATGACACATAAATGCAAAAGAAAAATTGAAGATCACCTCATATGATATAAAATTGTAGTATGAAACAATAAAAATGGTAATAAAGTGTTACAAAGAGAGTTAAGAAAAAAAGAATGATTCAGAAAAAGAATTAAGTCTTACGAATTTAATATGGAATATGATCTCCCCTGACTTGTACACACATATCACAACGTGTTTTAAGGCTGGAAATAACGTTGTTAACCACAGTTTGGGGAATTAATCTCCACTCTTCCAGCAATGCCGTCTTCAGAGCATTTACATATCTAGGAGGAGGATGTATACGTGCAATTGCTCTTCCAAGGTAGTCCCATAAGTTCTCTATCGGGTTAAGGTCAGGAGAGTTTGGTGGCCAAGGTATTCGCTTAATGTCTTCACTTTCAAGGAATTCATCAACGAGGTTTGCTCAATGTGGACGGGCATTATCATCCATAAATAAAAAGTCAGGTCCATATGCACCCCTGAAAAGTCTTACATAAGGATTTAAGACCTCATCTCGATATATCTGGCCTGTCACAGATCCGCTTCTGAACACGTGTAGGGGCGTAAGTCCATCGATCATTATTCCACCCCATACCATCACACCTCCACTACCGAAACGGTCACGTTCCACAATGTTCGAGGGATCATTTCGTGTTCCTGACTCCCTCCAGATGTAAACACGTTTAGAATCACCAGTTAAAACTAAACCGCGACTCATCAGTAAAGAGAACATGGGACCATTGATGTTCAGTCCAGTTTTGATGTTCTTTACACCAATTAAAGCGATCCCTCTTTTTCTGTGAAGACAGTAAAACACATACCCTTGGCTTTCTGGCATAAAGGCCTTTTCATTAAGCCTTCTGTATATTGTTTGCCGTGATGCAACAGTTCCAGTGGCGGCTGCAAGCTCTGAACTTAACTGGCGAGCAGTAGCCTTTCTGTTACGAAGGGAAGTAAATGCCAGATACCAATCTTCAGAAGCAGTTGTCATTCGTTTTCCGACCTTGTCCACGCCTCTCTACAACACTTCCATCATTTTGAAAACTGTTTCCATAGCTTAGAGGACTGTCTGTCTTGAAATATTCAGACATGTGGCTGTTTCCATGATTGACTGCCCTGCTTCTAAACGGCCGATAATTCGCCACTTTACAGATTATTCCAAATGATACTTCGAAGCCATAACAAACCGCTTTGAGTCCCTACACACTGAAATCAAACGCTATGTTGCAGAAATTCACTCAAATATTCAGTTTACGCAAAGCGCTTGATTCACCCTTGGATGACGTAATGCCTAGATTTGCATATCACAAACCTTTTGATTGGATAATGCTAATTAGGCTTGGTTTTCACACATTCCCTGCAAATACGGATCACATTGATTCGATATTTCATTGAATATCATCATTTTTGGGTATGTAAAGATAATTTTGGACATGAATGTATATAAACCATGGACCACGGTAATGAGTAACCTGAATGAAAATACAGATTAAACTTTAAAATATTAGTTAAATTAGAAAAATGTTTATGGATGTAGAAGTTATCTATTAAACATCCATCATTTTATGAAATTCTTTAGATAATTATGAAAAAAGGGGGGGGACATATTCACAAACAAACTATGTTGTGTAATAAATAAAGGTATCTTCATTTAATGACTGCTAAAGATGACATTGTAGTTAAATTGTCAAAAGCCCACCCCTAATCTTCAATTACAAACATATTTTCACCCAAATTCATTTAGTGTATTAATCAAAACAATTCACACCATCTTTAAAAGAAACTTAAGCTGGTGAGTGAACGCATCAATAACTGTATTTGCTTGTATCTCCCATGGTAAAATGAAAAAAAGTAAAAGTGTTTCCCATCTCAAAATCAAAAGGTGAGCAATCTTATTTATGTATATACTGAAATCACATTACTAAAATAATCATTTAAAAAAAAAACATTATTTTCTAAGTACAGTAAGTGATATCAACTTTGCACAGCAACTTGAATCAATTGTAATGCAAATGTATATACAAACACACAATAAAACTAAGTACTTGGGACACACATATTTGCTCTAATTTCCACTCCAAAGCCTGGGAAACAAAGAATTTGAAATAAAAACTATCTTCATATATTTTTTTGAATATATTTTAACTATAAAAAATGTACATTATTTTATTCCCAAACTATTATTGCATGGAGAATGATATATTTAACAGCTATTTAAATAGAATTAATAAGCAAAAGTTATTAAGTTAAATTTTAATCATGAGAATTGCATCTATTTTAAGCTGTCAAATTTTCTCTTTTAAAATCAGCAACACTTCAAAAATGTTAATTGGATAATGCATAATCATCTCATGCAACATAATTGATATACACACTCTGCATAGGGATTAGGACTCATGACCAACACTAAATATTTAACAAATAAATATAATAACACACTGTTTTAAAACAAGACAGTGTGGGGGGAAGAAGCCAGATTTCACTGACAGGAACTATTTGATCAAATTCTCAACCCAGCAAATATTTTCTTAAAGAAAAAAGTCACAGTAATGAATAACCATCTTGAAAATGTAAATTATCAAGGACTCATAGTAAAAGTATTCTTAACTTATTTTTCATATATATCACCATTAGTTGTTATAAAAAGTTAAAACTATAACAGGATTTATAAAAATTAATTTAAATCAACCAATTTTACAAGAAACTATGAAATTCTTTTACAAAGTACTTTCAAAACTAAATGATTGTATACATAATTTAGGGAAATGCAAGAATGCATAGTATAAAATATAGTGGGATAAAACTATGTATATAATTACATAACTAATAAAAATATCAATTATAATACATAATAAAAGATAAAACTAAATTATAATAGTAACAAAATTCAAAAAAAAAATAAAAACAAAAATAAAAGGTAACTATACAGAAAATTTAATAGAATGATATATATTATCACATTTACTGTCAATAACCAGATTATCACACACACACACACACACACACAAAAAAAAAAAAAAAAAAAAAAAAAAAAAAAAAAAAAAAAAAGCGCAAAAGAAGACAGTAGTATAAATTATGGCCTACTTTACTAGATTTCTTTCCTCAAATGCCAAAAATAATATACATATAAGGATTTTACATGCATTATGAAACAACAGATGTTTCAGTATCCAAACTATTTACCAATGCATGTGTACTTCAACAACCAATTATTATAAACGGAACAATTTAAAATTTTTACGTATTTATAAGCAAAGACAAAAATAAAAAGAGAATATTAATTTTTCTTGCTTTTTTAACATTTAATTACATATAAATATGAAATTCAATTTTAATTGTGGCAACTTCTGTAACCAGAAAAGCATGCCATCAAATGGTACTTATCTAACAAGTAACAGAAAAATTTTAAATGCAATACTTAGTTAATTTAACAGTGCATTTCTGAGTTTAAAAACGAAAGACTTATTTTAAAATGAGAACAACACTGAGATTTTCTTTCATTTTTTTTCCCACTAATTTCTTACTAAAAAGAATGTCCATCTGGTATAAAAACAGAGGTTCATTTCTATATAGTAATACATCAATTCACAGGTATTTTCAATTAAATACATAGTATAAGACGACAGAAAACGACAGAAAGGCAATAACTTCACACTGTTTTATCAATACAATACCAACATTACATTGTTATGCACTTAAGTACACAATATTAATTATCAAAATGCTTGATATACACTGAAGAATTCACTGAATTAAATACACTAAAAATTTTAAGCTGCAAGCACTAAAATGTTTCAGCTCTGTGAAGTCAGTGAAAAGTGTGGTTTATATACTCATGTATAAAATGGCAGATTATAAATCTGCATATGAAATATTAAGTACAGCTACATATCTCAGAGGATATGGCAATTCAAATAAAAATACAGTTTTTGTGACTAAAAGATTTTAAGAAAAATATTACAAACTAAAGACATCGCAGAAAATCTATTACCCAATTCCTGGTGCATATGCCTCTTGAACTTCATAATATAATAGAATCTTTAAGTATCGCACATTGATATGCTTCTGAAGCAAAATTTCTTTCCTGCAAACAAGCAACAATATAAAGTACACTGAAAATAAATGTCCCTGACAATTATTTAAAATTATGATATTAAGGGGAGAGGAGAAATTTAAGTTAAAAATGGCACAGTCAAACTGTAAACTAAAAGGTGATAATGTGTTAAAACAATGAATCACTTTGGTTACTTGAAAACAATTGCAAAGACACATATACAAAATTCTGTATCTCAAGAATTAATTCTTTAACTATATACAGTTTCATCTTCACAAATTTGAAAAACAAAATTATGAAAAATCTCATGTCTTTTTCATATCATAAAGAGTACCTTTCACTCAAACCATTTAAAAAACGTGCCATATTCAATTTAAACTTTGAGTAATCATTCAACTGTGCTATGACTGTTTCACTTACACAACTGATACATTTGCTTTCACATCGAAATACAACACCATAAAAATAACGATTCATAAATTAATGCTTAAAACCTTTATTATATTAAGATCTGCTTCTTTAAATGATTTTGAAAACTGATGCTTCAGTTCTAAATTTTAGCAGACAACAGAGCCTCTAAAATATTCTAATTCGAAAATTAACACTTCAAAAGATGGGAATTAATGCACACATTAGCTCACATGTTCATAAGTATACTAAATAATACTTTAAAAATGTGGAGAACATTTCAGATGTTGTGCATTTTCAATAAATTGACATACAAGTTCCATTATCATCTTGATATATAATATAGACACACACACACACAAAAAAAAAAAAAAAAAAAAAAAAAAAATTGAAATATCAGGAATCACTGATTTATCATAAGAAATGCACAGATGCATTTCAAACAGTGCTATATAAAATCTAATAAAAATATCACAGCAACAAAAGTCAGCCACAAGAAGGCAGGAAAATATACATATTTCTTCACTTCCTTGCTTGTACTATTCTCTCCTTGGTGCAGTTTTCTTCCAATGCAAAAAATTACTTGGTATCAACCTCCACTATTAAAAAACATTTAATAAAATAACTATTAATTTCATATAGAATTAATTTCTTACACTATAATCTTAATGCATTTATAAACATAAGTTGAATTTTTATGCTTAAAATCTACTCTATAACAAACACTTTATCCCCGTACAAGGTCCGAAATTTGGATACCCAACATTTGGTCTACTGGGTTGACAAGGAAGTAATTTTGGTTTACAGAAATAGACAGCATTATATTCATTTTGTTATTCTTCTGTCAATCTTATAGTACTACTATAAGATTATAAGTATACTTCATTTTTCAGATTTGGCAACTGACACTTTTAGGTTGTTATAGAAACAAATTTGGCATATTTTTTTTTACAACTGCTTGTGTATGGTCAATTTTAACACGGGGTAAAAAAATTTTTTTTTTCGATATATTTTACCATTCTATTTTAATAAAGGCAAGACAGCGGCTCACAAAAAGATGAGAAAAATTTATAGTGTTGATTGCTTAACAGAACACATGTGTCAAAATTGGTTTAAAAAATTTCGCTCTGCAGATTTTTCACATGAAGGTGACCAACATTTTGAGGTTGAGTATGACAAAATTAAAGCCGTAATTGAATAGAATCATCATATACCGTATTTGACGGCATATAAGACGCATCCTTATTTAGGAGGCTACACACAAGAAAAAAATGTTTCAATAGTCCACGCAACAGCGCGGTACCACAACTTAAAACGTGGTTTCTTTTAGTTCCCACATTTCGTAAAAGCCAAATAAACAATCATTGAATGCAATTACCAAACATATTTTTATTAAGGAAAATTAACAAACGGCAAGCTACTTTGAACATGATATGTAAATTTCAATAATGAATAAATGAATGAACGGCAAGCAATCAAACATAATACAAAATAAAGCAGAAACAACAAAAAAACACAGATTCAAGGTAAATGTTGCCTATCATGAAATTAGACTTTAATCACTTTCAAAACCATAAAAATCCTTTTCACTATCATCATCATTGAAAACGAGAATATCGTCATTACTACTGTTTCCGTCATCGCTAGTATCACCTTCTTTGAACAATGCGTCGTCTTCTGTTCCGTCAAAAGCATTACTGATTCCGCACTTCTTACAGGATTTAACAATTACTTCAGCCTTTACGTCCTCCCAAGATCTTTTTACTCACTCGCACACTTGTGAAATAGAGGGCCGCTTCATTCTACCTGAGGGCGTGATGTGGCTCTCCTATCCACTTGTTCCATCGTTCTCACACTTTTTCCTTAAATGGTTTATTCACTGATACATCTAAAGGCTGCAATTGGCTAATCAATCCATCAGGAATGACAGCTATCTGGGGTTTAATTCTCTTGCTTTATTGTTTATGGTTTCAGTTCTATGGGCGCTAAACTGATCCAAAAACAAAGAGAGGGTTTTTGTAAGAGTCCACCAGGTCGCCTCCCACAGGTTCTGTAGCCACAGTTTCATTCCAGCTTCATCCATCCAGCCTTTCGGACGAACATGAACAATTACATTCGTTGGAAGTTTTTCTTTCGGATGAGTTTTTCTTTTGAATATGAAAAACGCGGTAGTTTTGTGCCATCAGCACAACATGTTAGAACTACCATATATCGGGTTTTTTCATGACCTGTGGTTTTTATGGTTATTGATTTAGACCCTTTAATACTCACAGTCTTGTTGGATGGTACATCAAATGTGAGTGGAATTTCATCCATATTTCCTATTTGACCGAGCTCAAAAGAAGTTTTCTTGCGTGCATTTATAACAAACCTATGAAATGCTAGTATTTTTTCTTCATAATCTGCTGGCATTTTCTGTGCAATTGTTTTTGTGCGCATCGATAAGCCTACCTTTTCATGAACCTGTAGCACCAGCCCTCAGACCCTGAGCAGTTCTGATTCCCATGTTTTTCTGCAAATCCTTTGGCCTCATTGATTATCATTTTTGTTGAAACATTTATCCCAGATTTCCTCTTATCTATCACTCACATTTTTACGGCATTTTCAAGTTTAGGCCAAGATGGAGCTGGGTATCGAAGGTTATATTTTTGTTTTTTAGCAGTCTTCAGTTGATCTTTCTGCAGTCGCCAGGTACGTATAATTTTTCGGTAGGTGGTGGACCGAAAAGCCTTGCTGCTGCAGTGTTTCCATGCACTTTGGCGTAGTTTAACACTCCTAGTTTATACTGAAATGTATAGCTTAATCTCTTGTTTCCTGTAGTCATATTTTCAAGGGTATTTTTTACTTCCTTGTACGAAGTAAAAAAGGAAGTACTGTAATCGCGAAAAGTTTCAGGCAGCATATTTCAACGAAAATATCCATTTTGATCGCTATCGAATGCAATTTAACAATGTTTTTGGCGTGATATCTGTACGTAAGAACAGAATAAAATACTCTTTTCCGTAAAAAAAATTATAAAACTGCTTTAAAATTAATTCTGAAGAGAATTTTTCGTGGCATCTGTATGTTCGTGCGTACGTACATATCTCGCATAACTCAAAAACGAGTAACCTCAGAACGTTGAAATTTTGTATATAGGACTGCTATAACATGTAGATGTGCACCTTGTATTTTGGTTGCAATCGGCCGCACCAAACGTATATAAATATATTTATATATATATCCACTCTATTACCTGGCTCGGTGATCTCAGTTTCTTTACTCTTATATGTTTGTAAATTGTACATTTTTTGCTTTACAAATGATTGAATTATGTTGTTTTTATCTTCCGGTTAAGGATTTTATGTAAATCTGTATGCAATACTTTTAGAATTATCAACGATTTAAAAGTTGTTTAAGTGCCGCTACGCCTAATAATTTTTTGATGGCGGCCATTGCTTGTTTACATTTGAAATAGCAGAGTAGTGAATTTATTGCCAATCTACAGAAACGTAGCTTCGCAACAACAAAGATAAACACCTTCATTTATTATTGCACTTTAAATCATGCTTGATCTTTTCTTTAATTTTTTCGAGGAAATAAGTGTTAAAGATTTACTTAATTTTTAATAATTAGCAACTTTTAATACAGATATTTTGAGTTTTTTTTGTATTTTTGCCTTGTCGTGAAGTGAGAACTGAATTAATTGAATCAGAAATACTCAATCGTCTGTGAAAAACAGTTTCTTTTTTGTTTGGTTTGCTTAATTTCTTTTGTACATTGTTCTAGCTTTATTATAGTATTTGAATAGAGCATGTGGCAACGATTAGATAATTCTTTAAATGATATACATTTTGTGCATTCTGAGTTATAATATGAATGAAATATAATACTGTTAAGTAAACCTAGCGCCAGAGTGTCGCTATGGTAAACAAAGTGAATTTTAAAGAATGCACTTATTCTATTGTGGTTTATGCGCTGAAAGTTGTGGTTTATCGCTATGCCGATATGGTTTGTTATGGTTTATCGCTGTGGCGAAGTAGGTTTAATTCAATCTAATAAGTCTAATAAGTTTAATTCAAATGCAAGAAAAAATGCATATAATTTAATATTCCGTACAAGGAAGTCACGTGGTGTACACATCAGATTTTTTTTTTAAACAAATAGGTTTAAGCACCGATACCGACATGTTTATACAGAGTAGCACTGATACCGACAAATGTGTCAGCTGAGTCAAAGAAAGTCTATGTAAAGAAGGAAAGGCTCCATAGACATAATGTGACCGTCGAACCTGTTCGAACTTCGACATGAGCTTCGTGCTTTGGCGCTTTTTGGGGACAGAAGTTATGTGTCTATAAAAAGTTATGTGTGTCTAGACCTTTATCCGGGCTAAAAATAGCATTCAGTATTGAAAGTTAACCTGTGTCCTTAACGTATAAGACGCAGGTAATTTTTTTGAGACCAAATTTAGGAAAAAAAGTGCATCTTATATGCCGTCAAATACGGTAACTGAGTGAGAGACAGCAAAAAAAGTTAAACGTATCACACAAAACAATTGAAAATCACATAAGATGTCTTGGACACATTACGAAACTCGATATTTGGGTTGCGCACAAATTGAAAGAAATTCACTCAATGCAACAAATCAATATTTGCAATACACATTTCAAATGTACTGGAATTGACCCTTTTTAAAAATGAATTATCACTGATGATGAAAAATGGATCATCTACATTAACAATAAAAAAAGATAATGGTCTAAGCATGATGAATCAGCTTGCTTTAGAAAAAGATCATGCTATCAATTTGATGGAATTACAAAGACGTGTATTTTGAGCTGCTTCCAAGCAATGAAACAATCAACTCAGATGTTTACTGCCAATAACTTGTGAAATCAGAGGAAGCAATCAAAGAAAAAAAGTCTGAACTGGCAAATCACAAAGGAATTTTGTTTCACCATGATAATGCAAGGCCTCACCCATTTTTAAGGAACACATATGAAATTATTAGAACTTGGTGATGATGTCACATTCCTCCCATACAGACCCGACCCTGTACCATCAGCTTATCAATTACTTCGAAATTTGCAAAACTTCTTAAATCGTAAAAAAATTAATAATAACAATGACCTTAAATCACACTTGGTAGAGTTTTCTGCTGATAAAGACCATAAATTTTATGAGTGAGGAGTCATGGAGTTACCAGAAAGATGGCAAAAGGTCATCAATCAGAATGGAAGATAATTGATTGATTAAAGTTAATATTTGTATAGAGAAAACTAAGTAACTAACACTAAAAAACCAAAATTACTTTTTTATCAACCTGATAACATCTGAACCTCAGGACCACCAGCAATAATAATAATATTGATTTAAAAAAATTACAAACATATTCCCTTAATCTAGGAATGGTAATATTAAATAAAATAATAGTATAAAAATTTCCCCTTATAAAGTCTAGGAATGGTTAATATTAAATAAAATAATAATATAAAAATTTTCCCTTGCAAAAGTTGGGAATAGTTTAATATAATATTTAAATGCTTAACAGTTTCATTGTTTTCCCAAATTCGGTACAAATAATATCACATTTTTTTTTACTGTATTTTTTGTTCATTTT